CTCATCAATGAAAAAAAACTAAATAATAAATAAGATAAATAAAATATTCAATTCAATTATATATGATGTGATTAACATCCATTAATCAATGAATAAATAACAATTTTATTAACATTTCATTATCTTTTTATTTTTATAAATTCTTTTTTTTAGTTTAAATAAAATTGTAATATATAACAATTATAAAATAAATAACACTATTTAAATTAATAGTTAATAAACTATAAATATATAATAAAAACAAATGAGAATAACTCTTTATAATTCCCAAAGAGATTTAATATGATATGTTTTGTCTCCATTACCTACAATGAAAGAATCACTAAATAGATCTTCTTTAATAACTATTTTAGTTTTATTTAATTCTGCTGTAATAGTGTAATTAGTCCAATTGATAAAAAGATGAGTATTTTTAATAAATTCATTAATCTTCCTTTGAAGAGAAGCATCCCAAATATTACCAAAACAGTTACAAGCGAAGTTAAAGTCATTAACAGATACAAAATCAATTCCTCTAAAGATATTTTTGAAATTACCTTTTGTGTTAAGATAATGAAGAGATAGTTTATAGTCAAGTACTTGTGTAGGACAAAGACAACGCCATGCATTTTTAACTGAGTCATTGTCTATTTCTTCTAAATATCCTAAAGACAATATTTTTATAACCTTTTCAATATTAGGTCGTTGTTCTATTTGATTACTCCACATATCAGTCAATAATTTATGATAAACTTCTGGTACCATTTTATTTAAAATGGGTCTTTCTCCATGAACAACTTCTAAAGACAAATCATCCATCGACTCATATTTAACGTACAATAATCTTTGAGTAAATATTTGCCAAATTACCATAGAGAAAGCATAAATATCACAAGTAATATTATACTCATTATATAAGAATGTTTCTGGAGGTAAATAATTTGGAGTTCCATGAATATTCTCACTAAATTCTGTTGGTTTCTTTGTTAAACCAAAGTCACTGAGTTTAACTTTAAGATCAGCACTGACTAAAATATTTTCTGGTTTCACATCACCATGAATTAAATTTAAGGATTGAAGATATTTAATTCCTTTAGCAATTTCTAAAGAAATATGAACTTTAATGGGGCATGTTAGTTCAAATTGAAGAGAAACAGGACATTGTTGTTGGTTATATAACAAATTATCAAGAGAAGAATCCATATATTCAGTTAGAATAACAAGCCTATCTGTTTGGATAGTTCCATAAAAAGAAATAATATTTGGGTGATGAAACATTCTCATGTAACTAACTTCCATTCTAATACAATCAACTACAGTATTTAGAACTTTAACTGCAACATATTTTTCTTGAATTTTGCCTTTGAAAACTCTGCTAAAAGTCCCATGACCTACTTCTTCCATAAGTTGAACTTCAACAGCAGAATTAATAGTATTGGAAATAAAAACCATTGACTTAACTTTTCCCAGTTTTCGTTTTTTTATAGTATCTTCCTTTTTGATAATTAAACAATCCTCAACCCCTTTTTATATTTCCATTTTTTGTTTCCGGAGTGTTGAGATAAAAAAGAAGAAATATCTTCACAAAAGAAACGTACTTTGTGTAAATAAAAATTCCAAATCTACTTTGTTGTTTCCTTTCTCTTCCAATTCCCCATTTTTTGCCTAAAACTCATCCAAATGTTTTTCTTCAATTGAAATGAAAAGTCAACACTATTTTTAGAGAAGAAGAAATATTATTTTTAGGATATTAAAATAAGAAAAAATCAAAAAATATCTTCTAAAATAAAAAACAATTTTATAGTTGAATTACAAAAAAAGTGGTATTGAAAAGAAAAAACTTAAAAAAAAAAGATCATTGAGAAATGTCTGAAGATACTTCACCAATAAATGAGATTGAGCAAATAAAGAAAGAATATGAAGAGAAGATTAAAAAAATGACAGAAGAAAATAAAAAACAGATTGAAGAGGTTAAACGATTGAAAGGATTAATTCTTAAACAAGAAGAGGCTCAAACAGAAATAGTAAGTGGATATGAAGAACAAATTTCTCAATTACAAAAAAACACACAAGTCATTGAAAAACAAAAAGAAGAAATTGAAGAACTAAAACAAGAAAATAAAGAATTACAAAAAAGTATTGAAAGAGTAAATACTGAAATTGAAAAACAAAAGAAAATTATTCAAACATTAAGTGGTATTGGAAGAAAAATGAAAGAAGATCAAGAAAAAATTATTAAAGAAAAGGTCACAATATTAGAAGATGAATTAGAACAAATAAAAAAAGAAAACCAAAGAAAAGTTAAAGAAAATGAAGAACTTAATACAGAAATAAAAGATATTACTAATCAATTAAAAGAAATGGATGAAATTAAACAATTAAATATTCAAAGGAATGAAACTATTACTAAATTATATGAAGAAAATGAAACATTAAAAAAAACAGTAGAAAATTTTACACAAGATTTACAAAGTAAAATTATGAATGAGACTTATTATGTTGATAAAAGAATTGTAAACAAATTATTAATTAGTTATATAACAAAACCACATCAACGAATGGAAATTGTTAATCTTATGTCTAAAATAATGGATTTTACTGAAGAAGAAAAACGATTACTTGGACTTTCTCAAGAAACTACTCAAACAGGATTGTTTAATTATTTCTTTGGTAAAACAGATGAATATGATGAACCACCAAAATATGATTTAAAGGATAAAACTTTTGGAGATCTTTGGGTTGAATTCTTATTACGTGAATCAGGGTCATTGGACGCTCAACAACCAACAAATCAAAAATAAATAAAAATTAATTTACATTAATTTCCTTCTTTCTTCATATATCAAATTAACTTCTTTAATAATTCTTTTTAATTCATTCTTTCCTCTTCCAATAATTCTTTGACTCATTTTTTCAACATTTTCATGTTCCATTGCACAAACTAATTGTTTTAATACTAACACATCAAAGTATTTTCTTAATGGACTTCTAAATTGTGTAACTAATTGATTTCCTACACTTATAACTAATGCATATTCTCCATAGATTTTATATAAATATTGACTAATATATCTTCCAAGAAATATTCCTAATTCTTGAACTAAATCATTTCCACTTAACATACTTTTATGTTTCTTTCCAATATGATAACAAAATACATTATGAAGACTTATAATATCATTTTTTAATTGTGGAAGTGTTGTTCCATATATTTTTCCACAATTAAATGTTTCATAAGTTCCATAAGATTTCCATAATAAAGGATTATTTACAGCTGTATTATTTAACAAACAATTAAATTGCTCACTATTTAAATTACATCGAATATTAATCATAGACAAACATAATTGTGGGTTTTGAATGATTTGTCCTTTTCCATTCATAACAATAATTAATGAAAGTGCTCTTCTTTGTGTCCCTGCATCAAATGACATATTTTCTTTAATTTTAGACATTGTCTTTGATTCTCTTTGATGTCTTTTAAATTGGTGTTGAATTTGTCTTAAAGGATCTTTTGAAATTCCAACAAAATCAGAACAATCAACTGAATGTATTCCAATTTCAAATGTATCATCTTCAAGTACTTCAACATGAAATGCATCGTCTCTAATTTTAGTTTTGTCTGAATCAACAGTAAATGCTCTTCTCATACAAATATCAGTTCTTCTTTTGAAATCATCAAATGTAAATCTAAAATCAAAAAGAGGATTTTTTTTTCCCTTGACATATTTCTTTTTTGTTGAATCAATTGGTAAATCAACTGAATCAACATCAATCACTTCATCATTTTCTACATCAAAAATATCTTTCTCTTCTTCCTGATTAAAGTATGGTATCATTGATGGTATTATTTTTTTCTTTTCATCATATTTTTGAGTTTTTTCTATAAAACATTCTTTCGTTTTATTTTCATTATCTTCTTTAAATGAAATTTTATGATTAGAAGCTGTCATTTTCATTATAAACTTATTTGTTTTTTCTTCTTTTTGAATTAAAGGTGAGATTCTTGGATATTTTTTATTTATTTCTGTTGAAGATATAAAATGATCTGGTGTTCTTTGTTGAAATGATTTACAATCATCTTCAATAATCAAAATATCATTATCATCAGAAGTGATAAATTGATTATTCTCATCTAAAGAGTCATCAATACAAATAATATCTTCCTCTTTTACTCCTTCCATCAAATTCTAAAAATATCTAGTTATAAAGGGTTTTTTTAAAATTCTTAAAACAAAAAAACTCATAAAGAAATAAAAAAAAGAAAAAAATAAATTAAACAACATAGTTGTTATCAAATTCAAGATTGACTTCTTCTTCTATTTCACCAGCATTTTGCCCCCATAATGATTTAAATTTCGTGATATATGACAACAATGAAATGATTGAACCTATAATACTTCCTGCTAAAATATCATCAAAATTATGAAAATAATCACGTGTTCTTGTCACCGCAACAATCCCAGCCATTACTAATGGAAGTAATGATAATAATAATGTCAACAATGAACCATTACCATTAAATACATGTAATTCACCACAAAGTAATAAAGAAATAAACATCATTCCATTAAACATCATTGAAGAATGTCCACTTGGAAAAGATTTATATGCATCTCTCATATTTCCAGCATCAACCATAGCATAGAAATTAGGACGAGGTCTACCAGCAAATAATTTAATTGCATTAGTAAGAAAGATATTCATTGAAAAAGAAAAGAAGAAGACTATGAACACAGAAATAAAATAATAAGTTGAACTTCTTTTCTTTGCAAATAGAAATATTACTACAATTGGTAAACTAATTGAAATTATTAAACACAGAATACTTGGAACAGTACTATTAAGGTTTTTATACAATACCATTGCATTGTTTCTTTCAAGAGGAATTTCCATATGATAACCAGGTAATTCTTCTAATATCATACCAACTACAAATAATATAGTAGCTGTAATAAATTCTATTAAATGTGTTTTTGTAAGTTGTTGTTTGATATTTGAAGGATTAAACATTTTATTTTTCGAGATCTTTTTCTGATTTTTAATGATTAAAATAAATCTTTTTATATTTGTTATATAAAACATATTAAATTATTGGAAAATGAAGTAGTCATCATAAACATCTAAACCTGATTTTGTATTAAACAAGTCTAATGGTGACAGTAAGTCTGTTCTTCTACTTCCTGTTCTACTATTTATTCTACTATTTGAATTACTTTGAGATAAACTAGTATCATCAAATCCAAGTGGGGAATTGTCTCTTGGTGGAATAAGAATATTCATAGGAGTCATACGTTCTGAAGTGTATGAACAACTCTCACTATAAATAGTTCTATTGTAATAAGTTGTTATATTAACTATTTTATTCATTTGGATACAAAAAACAAACGATAAATCAATTGGTTGAAATGCAATTGGTTTAGGAATATCATCTGTCATTGTGTTTTTTTACTTATAAAATATTTCAGTTCTTGGATTTTGACTTATCTTCTATTAAAAATTAAATGTAATAGAATATAACATTCTTTTTTATTTTTTTTTATTGTTTCCTTCATTAATGTATTTTCATAATGTAAAAATTCATTAAATACTGTAAATTTAATTTCTTCTTTATTGATTTGATTGGTTGCTTTTCTTTACAAATCATTCTTCCTTTTTTATCCTTTTTTAATTTTGTATTTTTTTTTAATTAACCAATCAAACTAATAAAAATACTTCAATTGTTCATTAAAATAGTTGTTTAAATTTCAATAATGTTCAAATAGATTCTATTAATAATTTTATTATTTATTGAATTTCTTAAATCTTCTTATATTTGTGTGCCTTTTCATTTACTTTATTAATTTTTTATATCTTATGTCTTTTGTGGCAATGTTCTACATCATCATTTTTACTTGTCTTTTCATTTCTTTTTGATTAATTGAAATGAACCATGAACTAACAACATTAGTTATTCTCTCTTAATGTATTTAACCATCTCATATTTTTATTATTTATTTACTATTAGAAGTAATAGTTTTTTTACTTCTAATACTTTTCATATTTATTTTAAATCATCACTTGCCTGTTTAAATGTTATTATAACCAATTGAACATTATTATTTATTCATTTTCTTATGCTTTTTTTTTCTTATTCTAATTTTATCTTTGTTGGTTTAATAGGAGTTTCTTCGATGAATATTTAGTTATTCATATTCTTTTTAGAATAATCTTTATAATAAACAAATAATGTTTTTCTTTTTTATTTTTCCAATGAATCAATGACTTTTGAAATTGATTGGTTATTTTCATCCTAAATAATTTATTGTAAAAATAAATTGTTGTAAGTTTGGTAAATAAAGTAACAAATCCATAAAAAAGTATTTTTCTTCTTTTCTGATTTTCTTTTAAAATGTATTTTCAGTTTTAACATTATGTAATTCAAGTCAGTCATAAAAAAATCATATAATAAATTAACAAAATCTGACGAAAAGAGAAATAACTTATTAATTGGAAGGATAGTACCTCAAGACAGAAAGAATAAAATAAATTCTATTAACAAAAGTAAATACAAAAAACTTTAATTGAGGAAATGACTTATTAATTGCGAGTTAATTAAATTATATGAATATAATAATTTATTAAAATAACTATTATTATTAAAAAACAACAATACATTACAAAGAATAATGATAAGTAGAATTATTAAAATATATTATATAATTTAGTACAACGGAAGAAATAATATAAAAATAAATATTTTAAAAAAGGGTGTTTATTATAAAAAAAAAAAGAAGAAAGGATAGTAAGAAAATAAAAATAAATAGTATTGAAAAATCAAAAACTTTAATAATAAATACATCTAATAATAAAACCTTCTTCTATTTTATTAATAAATCAAAAAGAAAGAAAAAGTAAAATAAGTAAAATAAAAAGGAGTTAAAAAGAATTAAATTCCAAGTAATAAGAAAAATAAATTAAAGAGAAACTATAAGTCAAGAAAATAAGAAGTTTCATCTTTATTCCAATATATTCTTTAATTAAAAATAAAAATTAATTAAGAAGAACTAAAAAACTTAGAGATTATAATGAAATTCATTGTTATAACATTATTTATTGCAGTAACATTTGCTATGTGTGAACATAGAGATATTATTGGAAAAGATTTAATTACACCACAACTTGCACAATGTTTAGCAAGAAAACATGCATTAGCTGCACTTGTAGCATTTACAAATGATGGAAAATTTAATTTAAATAGTTTAAAGAATGGAGCATATCTTAGAGGAGCTGGTTTTAGAAGTGATGATATAGAATTTATATTTAGACCATGTGTTACATGTGGTAATATTGGAGGACAACTTCAAACTTATAAAGTAAGAACAGAAGATTTACCACATCATGGAGTTATTCTTGAAATTAGAGAAGGTCAATGGAGTTCTGATAAAACTCTTAATCAACAAACATTTAATGAATTAATGGGTGCTACTATTAATTTAGGTGAACCAATTATGATTTTAACTGGTAAAGAAGAATGGTCTAATATCTTTGGAGCTGATTATACTCATCCTCTCGCTTTTCATTATCCTTTAATTTATATTGGAAATGAACAAGAAACTTTCGATGATTTTGTTCCTTTCGCTGGTTGGACTAAACCTACTGAAAAAGCTAAAAATGTTCCTGTTGCTGTTTGTGATGCTAGCGTTAAACAAACACTTCGTAGATGCAATTATTAATTAAATTTCTTTTAAATTTTGTTTTGTTTCTTTTTGATATGAAATTCTTTTAAACAAAAAATATTTTAATTAACATTTAGTTGATTTGTAGTTATTAAATTTATAAAAACAGAAGATATAATTAATTTATTTATATTTT